CAATGCTCTCTAGAGACTGACTCTAGTATTTACATATGAATGTTCAAAATTGTGAGTATAACTGATAAAATACATGGCAACTGTAATGTAGTGGACATTTTGTTGAAATATAGTAGTTATTTTATTTTATTTAACTCAGCAGAACTTAAGAAGAGAATATGGCACTAATACCAAAAAGACAAAGATTGCAAGTGAATGAGGATCTAGGAAAGAAGAGAAAACCAAACCCACAATTAGTAGAATGAAAGAACCATGAGGAGAAGTAAACAAAATAGAGTCAAAGAAATAGAAGTTGTTTTTTCTTTTGTAAAAGATTTATTTATTTATTTTATGTATATGAGCGCTCTATCTGCATGTACAATTTTATGCCAGAAGAGGGCACCAGATCTCATCATAGATGGTTGTGAGCCACCACGTGGTGGCTGGGAATTGAACTCAGGACCTTTGGAAGAGCAGTCAGTGTTCTTAGCCCCCTCTCCCCAGCCCAGAAAGGAGTTGTTTTGGATAAAGTACAAAAGGACCAACTAACTAAGAAGATGTAGAAAAGATCTAAATAGATACAATTTAGAACTGGAAAAGAAGGGCTTGGGAGATGGCTCAGTTGATCAAGTGCCTGCTGCACAATCATGAAGAGCTGAGTTCAGATCCCCAGCACTGTGTAAAAGGCCAGGTATGGTGTTGTGCACCTGTAATCCCAGAGCCGGAGAGGCAGACACCGGAGGATCCTAGAGCTTGTTGAGTTTTGTTAGCCTGTGGCTTTGAGGGAGAGTACCTCTTATTGCTTATGATCCATGGGTGAACAGTCTCACAAGGGACTCAGTTGGCTGCAGAATAGCTAGTTTTGCCAACTAGTAACCTCTATTAGGGTCAGTGAGAGACTCTGTCTCAAACAATGAGGTAGAAAGTCATTGAGGAGGACAGTTGGTATTGATCCATAGCCTCCATACACATATGGGCACACACACACACACACACACACACACACACACACACACACACACACCTGCATACCCACTCGCACAAAGAAATCTGATCAGGTTATTTCACCTCATCAGAAATGCATCCCATGATTTCACATCTTCTTCAGACTGGAATCCAAATTCCATACATGTTCTGCAAGATCTTAGATGACCTTAGCCCCCAACTTCCTTTCTGTATGCATCTTCTGTCTCTCATCCACTGACTAGCCATGTTTCATCACTGACTTCTCTGTTCCTGATACAGGGTTTCCATTCTAGGTGCCACTGGCATGTGCTTTATCTTGGATAGGTGACCCTGTGCTTTGTCAGATGTTTGGTGGCATACCCAGGCTCCTTTTAGCAGATTCCTGAGATGTGACAATCACTAATATCTCTAAATACCCCCTGCCCCCATTTAGAACAGTGGCTCTATCGTTCTTTATTGCTGTAACAAAATATCTCAGAGGAATAAGTTAAAGGAGAAAAGATTAGTTTGGGCTCGTCAGTCAGAGTTCAGGTGGTTCCAGTGCTGGGTCCCAGGCAGGGCAGCAAGGCAGAGAGCATGTGGTAAGACAAGGCTGCTTCCACATGATGGGGGACAGAGAGGGCAGTGGGGGGGATAGATGATAGATGATAGATACATAGATGATAAATATATAATGGAGATAGATAAATAGATGATAGATAAATAGACAGATAGATGATAGAGACATAGATGATATAGATAGATAGATAGATAGATAGATAGATAGATAGATAGATAGATAGATAGATAGATAGACAGATGACAGAGACATTAATTAAGAAAAGGATTGTATACACATTGCATCCCTAGAGTCGACATGTGCTTCTCAAGAGTAGGTTGCCTGGCCTGGAATTTTTTTTTTTTTCATGTGGCAGCACATAGCTGATTCAGAGGACTAACGGGAAAGCTGTAATTATGGCAGTTTGGAAAGGAGGCTTCACACCTTAGGTCATGCATATTTGCCCTTGGTGGATGATTATTGCATCATCAATAGAGGTTTCTAGATAAGAGTTCTTGAGTCCATTGAATTCAAATACTTCAAGGCACTAAATCAGAGATTTAAGATTTGAATGTTTAATTTTTCTCTGAAATTATATAATAGAATATAGTTTATATCTTGCTGTGGGATGTTCTGTATGTCCTGTGGGAGCCCTTCTTGGGTTCTTTGTGGCGTTACCCAGCAGGTCCGTATAGAGGATGATTAGGACCATGGGCCTGAGTGCAGGTGTTTGAGATGGTCTGCACTTGGCTGTGCTGGGGGATGGTCTGTATGTCAAGTTGCTCTGATTGGTTAATAAATAAAACCTGATCGGCCGTGGCTAGGCAGGAAAGATAGGCGGGACTAACAGGAAAAATAAAAGGACAGAAAGGCAGAAGGAGACGCTGCAGCCGCCGCCATGACCAGCAGCATGTGAAGATGCCAGTAAGCCACCAGCCACATGGCAAGGTATAGATGTATGGAAATGGATCAATTTAAGATAAAAGCACAGTTAGCAAGATAAGGACAGTTAGCAGGAAGCCTGCCACGGCCATATGGTTTGAAAGCAATATAAGTGTCTGTGTTTACTTGGTTGGGTCTGAGCGGCTGTGGGACTGGCGGGTGACAGAGGTTTGTCCTGACTGTGGGCAAGGCAGGAAAACTCAAGCTACAATATCTTAATTGTGAGATGTGCCTATGTTGGCATATAATTACTATTCTGAACTGTGTACTTACTAAAGGACTCCTAATATTCTATGCTGGACAATATAGATTATTATATAGCTAACACCAATTGACGAAAAGGTACAAAGATTTGGGGAATGTTGGAGAATATGGTAGAAATGAATTTTTTAATGCTAATGCCCTCTCCCATGTCAAGGGAGTTACATTAATGTACTATTAATGGTAATTCTCTGTAATTCTTTATTCATAGCATATCTAGGGAAGGAATATATATGACTTGTTGGGTTTAAAGCATTAGGAAGAATAAGCTGTGCATGCTTGGGCATTCATCTTTCTGTTTCTCCCTTAGAAAGCAGCTACTTTCTGAGTAGTCCTTGTGTTCTTGGTTCTGTATACCATAAGCTGGGCAATTCTCCAGCAGGAGATACCCTCTCTTGTCCAGGCCTGTAAATGGCTGGGTGAGAAAGTCTACCCAATTTGGGAATGTGGGGTTATGGGCTTAGTTATTCATCAGCCAACATTCTCCAACTGAAGCTTTTGTGGCCATAAAGGTGATATTTTGATGTACATCCATCTTATCCTTTTGCCTCATTTTTCAAATGTTTCTTGGAACAACTGCCAAGAGGTGTTATTTATTGAAAATCCCCATACTTACCACTCCCTGATCTGCCCTTGATTTATTTGCTTACCTTATGTTTCTCCTGAGCAGAACACAAGCTCCAGGGCAGAAATTAATTTTGTTCTCCGCTGTATTCCCAGCACCTAGGACTGGTACCGGAAGCCTCTTCATAAGTCCTGTTAAATGACGGCATCAGTTCCTGTGCCAGGGTGAGGGAAGGGGAGGGCCTCACGATGTGCCATCTCTGCCTGAGTTGTGTAGTGTTAGTTTCATATCTTGGTCTTTTTTAATTTTTTATTTGTATGCATGATGTTTTGCCTTCGTGTATATATATGTACCATATTTGGGATTGGTACCCTTGGAAGACGGAAAAGGGTGTCAGATTCCCGGAACTGGAATTTCAGATGCATTTAAGCTGCAATGTGGGTGCTGGAAATGCAGCCTAGGCCCACCGGAAGAGAAGCCAGTGATCTTAAACACTGAGCTGTCTCTCCAGTCCACCGTGCCCATTCTTAAGGGTGTTAGAATACAGCATATAGTTAACTTGCTTTCAGCATTTAATTTTTCTAAGCTTCTGGATCCTTAAGGCTAAATACATTTATTTTGAATGAGCTTTGAAAATTTTTGTCTTAGTGATGTTTCCCTTGAACAGTAAGAAGGTAGACTGGGCTCTGGTGGGAATAAATAAGAAAGCATTTGTTAAGTGTTCCGCCCAGGGCCCTTGGGGGCTAAGGGCTTCAGCATTACTTTGTTTGCTCTCTAGCTTTAAGCTCCTGTGAATTAGCTGAATGACTAATGTGGAGAAGTGAGATCATAAGGAAGCCGAGAATGGCTGTAGGTCTGCATCTCCAAGGAGCCGATTCTGGCTTGGCTTCCAGGAGGGCCAGTAAGCCCTTGGATCATCACATTCGCCACGTTGCCTCCAGCTCGAGCTTACATTTGCCCTTTTCTTTTTATTTGTTTTGACACAGAGTCTCCTATGCCCTAGGTTGGCCCTGAACATGTTAGTGGAGGGTGATCTTGCGCCTCTGATCCTCCAGTCTCCACCTCCCACATTCTGGGGTTGCAGGTGTGCGCTACCATGCACAGGGAATGTGCTGTTGGGACTCAACCCGGGGGCTTGGTGCATATTAGGATGGCACTTTCCTGCCTGAGTTACATCCCGGGTTAGAGCTATGCATTGTCTTTTTGTGCTCTTCTCAAGCGAGTTGTCAGGCTCAGAGTCTCCTCTGCCCGCCTGGCTTTCGGCGTGCATCAATTTCAGCTTATGTATCTGTATCCTTGGTACTTTCATGTCTACAGTTGTCTCCCTATGTGGCCAAATGTTGGTGATGTTAAGGTGTTTAATTAGGGATTATTACGAGGCAAAATACTAAGCGTAAATTCAATTGCATGTCTATATGTGTGTGTATAAGTTTCCAGTTCCAGTTCAGTTACAAACAGTGTTATGTTGTGGGGTGGCAAGATAGCTCATCAGATAAAGTCTCTCACTGCCAAACTTGATGACCTAAGCTTTACCATCCAGAACCAATACAGTGGAAGAAGATCGTAGACTCTCACACACACGCTGTGGCATGTCCACTTACAGAAACACAGATACACACAGAGAATAAATAAATGTAAATAAAAGCTAACGACATTGTTGTAGTGGGTAGTCATTCCAGCTTTGATCTGGAAGTTCCAACCCCCATTGAGGGTCCGGTAACTGTCACGCCTACAAGGCGGGGCTGAGAGAGGACGCTGAAGACCCGAGATCCAGATGGGCTGGCTCTCTTGGTTCCTAGACCCTTGACGCTTGAGGTAGACCAAGCAGAGTTTTCCAGAGAACACTGCTGGACTGCGCTATACCTTTCCCAGACCCTGTTACCTATCCCTTCACTTGTAAGGTACCCCACAAAATAAACCCCCCTTTTAACTACGTGGAGTGGCCTTAATAATTTCACCAATACATTGTCATGGCTATTTGTTGCTTTTTTATTTTTTATTTTTGAGACTGTGTCTCACTATGTAGCTCTGGCTGTTGTGGAACTTACTATGTAGACCACACTGGCCTTGAACTCACAGAGAACCACCTACCCCTGCCTCCTGGGTGATGGGATTAAAGGCATGGGCCACTACGCCCAGCTCCTTTTGTTGCTCTTTGTGGTAACATTCCACTCAGACTCCAGGAAAGGGTAGGAATGACAGATTCTGATATCTTTACCTTTAGTGGCCACAGTGCCATCTTTTACTATTGACCCCTCACAACAAACTCAATTAATACTTTTTAAATGTCTATAATTTACGTGTGATTTATTTTTTTAATCACTTATTGAAAAGGCTGCGCAATTTTTATTTCTATGCTTTTTAAAAGCAATAGCAACCATCTTATGATAGGCAACTAGTTTATTTTGTTTGAATATTTCTTTTTAAATAAAATTTTTTATTAATTCTTCAGCATTCTACACAATGTATTTTTCTCATATTCACCCCCCTCACAAACTTCTCCCAGGTCCACCCTACCTCCCTACTCACCCATGTTCTCTCTCTGTATTTTTAAAACTCAGGTTCAATTTGTATTCCCCAAATATCCTTGAGAGTAGGGCCTGCCAGAGAATGCAGTTGATGTATCAGCGGTCACACCCTTAAAGAAAACTGACTCTTCCTTTCCCAGCCGCTATCAAATGGCAGTATCTCCTCTGCTAGGGGGTGGACTTCTTGCCCACCTACCCCGTCCATGCTGGCATTTTGTCTTCCTTGTGCTTGCTTAGGTCTTTGGATGCCACCATAAGAGTTGCGAGTTCCTATGTGTTGCTGCCTTGCTGTGTCTGGAAAGCACTGTCTCCTTGTGGTCTTCCTCCACTCTGACTCACGCAGTCTTTCTGCCCTCTCTTCCATGATGACCCCTGGACTTTGTATGGAGGGTGAGTGGTACAGATGTTCCGTTTAGGGCTGAACACTGCACAGTCTCTTACTCTCTTTACCGTAATCAGTTGTGGGTCTCAGTGTTAGCGGCCATCTACCGCAACATGTTTCATTGATGAAGACTGAGAGGTGTGCCAGTCTGTGGGTACAGCAATAAGTCCTTTGGAAGCATTTTAATGCTATGTTTATTTAACAGAATAATGATAGAAGGTTTTCCCTTAGAGCCTATGACCTACCTAGTCACAGGTTCTTAGCCCCAATAATGGTACCAGGTACGGGTTCTAGCTTGTGGAGCAGGCCTTAAATTCAATTAAAAAAAAAAGTGTGTTTGAGACAGTCATGCTTCATAGCACATGCTGTCCTAGAACTATACAGCCCAGGTTGGCCTTGAATTCACAACCCATCTTTGGAGAGCTGTGTCTTCAGGGTGTGCCACTACCAGGCTGATATGCAACTTCTGAGATAGCCAGGTCGCTCCCTGCCTCCTGACATTCATGGTAGTGTGTTCATTCCCTTCCTCTTGGATATAGGCAGACCTAGTGACTTGCTTCTGAGTAAAATGTGACAACAGTAATAGAAGCCATTCTTGAGATGAGGTAGGTGATAGACTATTGTGAGTTTCCTGTGGCACTCCCAATTCCTTGCTTGCCTCATCTCACAGAACCAGCACTGTAGGGAGCTACGTACAGGGCCAGGCACTGAAAACAGCCTCTGGCCCAACAGCCAGTTCAACAGCCTGGAAGAACTGAACGCCGACAGTAGGAGTCCGCCTGGGATTCTGCCCCAGCTGAACCTTAGGCTACTGGTGCCCTTGAACCTCTTGAGGTACCGTCAGCCAGCAGATAAAGCTAATCAGACTTGGTTCCCAAAGACACTGCAAGTTCATAAATGTGCCTTATGGTAAGCTTTGAAGAATTTGTTTCTCAGCACTGGGTACCAGTACAGACCATAACTTAACATGAAAAAAAAAAAAAGTATTTCTTTTTCTTTGAGATGGAGTCTCATGTATCTCTAGCTGGCCTTGATCTTCCCGCCCCACTATCAAGTGCTAGTATGACAGACATGCCTACTACACCTGACTTCTAGGGTGCCAGGGACCAAACACAGGACTTTGTGAGTGCGAGACCAGCACTCTACCAACTGAGCTATAGCCCCGGCCTCTCCAAACAGATTTTTAAATATCTTACATCTTATTTATGGCATCATTCAATTTTATTTAAAAGCCAAGGACAGGACATCACTTGATTTGCATGGACCTACTACCTAGTCATTAGAATCCATTGCCTCCAGTTTTAGGGACTCAGACTATGTTGGTTAATTTCCATTGTCAGCTTGGCTGAAACATGCCTATTGGGTGTTTTCAGACAGATTGAACTGAGGAGAGAAGACCCACCCTTAATGGGTGTGACATCATCTTCATGGGTGATATAAGCCTCAACCTTCTCTCCTACCTAACTAGGATACTATTTGACTCAGTGCCTCAAGCTCCACCCTCCACAACTTCTCCACCCTGGTGGACTGTACCCCAGAACTGTGAGCCAGAATAAACCCTTCCTCTCTTGAGCTGCTGTTGTTAGGTATTGTGTTACCTCAATAAGAAAAATAACTTACAAATACCAAAGGGGTTATCAAGACAGAAGCAACAGTTATCAGTAAAATGTGCTGTATTTTAACTTAGAATCTCCTTACTTAATTCAATATAGTAAAAATGTAGGAAATTAGAATAACAATTTCTATGCACCATCACCAATGTAGGATTTCTGAAACACCATTTTATCTTTTTGCATTACTTTACATATTTTTTCCTGAAAAACATTTGAAGTTGCACACTTAGTTCATCAAGTTAGAGAACATATGTGCCCCAAACCTAATTTGCAAAGCCATTGTTATGTTCAAGTTAATTAAATTGAAACTACTCTTTGCCAGAAAAGGCCTGATTTAGAAAACTTAAATATATTAATATACAATTAAAGTATTGTATGAGCCACTGAAAAAGAAATTATGGCACATACTGTGTAGAATACTAGTGAAACCCCAATTAAAGGGTGTAGGATTTGTTTAGGCTTCCAAGAACACAAAGGCAGATGGGCCTCTGGTGAGGAAGGAAAATGGGGTATTAGCGAGACTCAGCTGGGGAACTAAGCATAGGGAAGATTTTTCTGAATTTGGCAGTAAATAAGGTTCAGTGTTCTACCTCACCACCTGTGTTGCTGTTCGTAGTTTTGAAAGGGAACCTTAGCTGGGCAATGGGGGCACACAACTTTAATCCCAGAACTCGGGAGGCGAAGGCAGGTAGATGTCCTTGTGTTTGAGGCCAGCCTGGTCTAAAAGCTAGTTCTAGGACATTCAGGGCTGTTACACAGAGAAACTCGGTCTGGGGGGCGGGGGCGGGGAAGAAAAGAAAATGAACTTCAAATCTCTTTGGCTTTTCTGTTTTAGGGGGTAAAAAATTATCTAAAGACATGCTATTCATTTTATTCATAAAAAGAAGTGATGAATGCTGTTCTATAGATGAAGATATAGAATTAGAAGCAGTTGTCTAAACAATGTGCACATAAAATCTCACTCTCCTACAGGCATTAGGTAGGATGCTCAATGTGGACACACGCTTAGTGCAAGCCCAATGTCATAGGTGCCGGTTATTTGTTTTTCATGTTCATTACTAGAAGGTTTGTAGGCTGAGTTCTGCAGGTCACAGTCATGGTGACAGCATCAAACAGGTGAGTTATCTTAGGATGAAGGTTTTCAAGCAAAAGGTTGCAGACGCTAGGGAAATTTCAACCTCCACAGTTCAAAATATTCAAAAAAAGTGTTCACATATCCAAGCGCCCAATTTTGTTTTTTTATTCTCTAGAAAGAACAAAATATTGCCCCTCCAGATAACATGGAAGAGAAAGCTGGCTGACCCCATAGGCTGTTGGAATGGGCTCCCAAGTGGAATTGTGAAATCCTGTTCTCTGGCTAGCTCATCTGTCTGGCATGTGAGGATAACGACGGGATAAGGGTGCAGGGGAATGAAGATGACCTCTCCAACTCCATCCAGTCCTGAAACTGTCTCATTTCTGCAGTGGATTGCTCACTGTTGGGTAACAGAGAAACAAAAACATTTCTTATCAAGGAGACATTTTACAAATAAGAATTGTAATTCCTGGAAATTTTATTAGAATTGATGAATAAAAGATCTGTAATGCATTATTGCCCTTAGTTGTAATCTTTGTTATAAAATGTTTTCTGTTTTTATGACTGGCGCACTTTGTTTTTTTATACATGTGATGTATATAGCATAGTTCATCAGTGTCGTGCACTCAGAGTTCTTTACTGGCCTGGACATCTTTGCTAGGCAGGTGTATACCTTTATCTTTGTAGTCCTAAAAGCCAATGTAGTCTTGGGCCAAAGGCAAAGCTAACTCCTGGAATTAGCTCTTGAACTTGCCATGGATCAGGCTGGTCAGGGAGAGTTCCTGAGTCTGCTCCTGTAATACTCTCTACCTGTCCTTACAAAATGGACTTTACTTAGCTTTGAGTCACTGCCATGACTAATTCCTTAATCTTCAATATTGGCTTTGTTCTTATGCCTAAGGGAAGCTGTGTATTATGGTCAAGCATGGACTTTACTGTACAGAAAATTACATATGCACATAGTCTGTTAGCTGTGGGATCTTGAGCGGGTTACCCAGGTTCTCTCTGCCTCAATGTTTTCATTAACCTGTTTTACTTTATAGGACTTTCTTCAAGACAAAGCAATGTAATGGGGTTTCTAGTGAGTTTAACATAGAAATAAGATGAGAACAATATCTAATGTGGACTTACCCTTGCAGGCTCTTTAGCTCTAAATGCATGCTTTTAGTTAACAGGATGCATACACTATAGGCTGAATAGAAATGTTAGGATTTATGTAAGAAATAGGTATGAGCAACATGGGTGATGTCTGTAAGTTGGTTAATTAGTTTTTGGTTTATGTCTTAGTCACTGTTATACTGCTGTGGAGAGACACCATGACCAAGGCAACCTTTATAAAATGAAAGCACTTAATTGGGAACTTGCTTATAGTCCATTATCATCATGGTGAGAGCATGGTGGTACCCATGGTGCTGGAGCAGTAGCTGAGAGCTACCCCCTGATCTACAGGCCACAAGAGATATTGGGCCTGGCATGGGCTTTTGAAGCCTCAAAGTCCAACCCCAGTGACACACTTTCTACAACAAGGCCATACCTACTCTAACAAGGCCACACCTCTTAATCCTTCTCAAATAGTACCCCTCCCTGGTGACTAAGCATTTAAATATATTAGCCAATGGGGGCCATTCTTATTCAAACCACCACAACTTAGTATTTAGAATGTTTCAATTCAATATAGCTTTTTAATCCTGAGAATCTCATACATAGAAATTTTTTAATCAAGTCCATCCTCATTCCCTCCTTTCCAATTGTTCCCCCATTTCTACCAGTGCTATTGCCTCCCAATTCCCCATACTCTCTGTCTCTCTCTGAAACCCTGGTATGGTGGTATTGTGTTCCCCAAAATATTGTGCACCCTAATAAACTTATCTGGGGTCAGAGACAGAACAACCACTAGATACAAAGGCTAGAAAATGGTGGCACTCACACCTTTAATCCTAGCATTCCAGAGGTAGAAATCCCTCTGGATCTCTGTGAGTTCAAGGCCACATTGGAAACGGTTAGGCATGGTGATACACGCCTTTAATCCCAGAAATCGAGCCTTTAATCCCAGGGAGTGATGGTAGAAGGCAGAAAGATATATAAGGCGTGAGGACCAGAAACTAGAAGCGTTTGGCCTGGTTAAGCATTTGGCTGGTTAAGCTTTTAGGTTTTGAGCACCACAGTTCAGCTGAGAGCCATTCAGATGAGGACACAGAGGCCTCCAGTCTGAGGAAATAAGACCAGCTGAGAAGTTGGCCAGGTGAGGTTAGCTGTGGCCTGTTCTGTCTCTCTGACCATCCAGCATTTCACCCCAATAACTGGCCCCAGGTTCATTCTTATTAATAAGACCTTCTAAGATTCCTGCTACACCCTGGAGTCCAGGTAAGACTGACTGTATGTGCATGTATGTAGGGCCATCTTGGGCCTCATCCCTGAAGAAACCTGAGTTTCCCTCACCTAGCAACCATTAATTGTCAATAGTTCCTCAGCTATGAGTGGGACTTCCTGACCACCTCCATCTTCCATTTTAATCTTAATTATTGTAATTTTTTGTTGTTGTTTTTTTCGAGACAGGGTTTCTCTGAGTAGCTTTGCGCCTTTCCTGGAACTCACTCTGTAGACCAGGTTGTCCTCGAACTCACAGAGATCCGCCTGGCTCTGCCTCCCGAGTGCTGAGATTAAAGGCATGCACCAACACCACCCAGCTAATTATTCTAATTATTATATTTTATTAAAAAGATGATAGTCCTACCCACACCCAGTCCTTTCTACCTTCAGGAAGATATGCATAACTCCTTTAATAATACATATTTCCATGTGAACTCTCTAAAGTTAGTGTCTTATGCTTTTGAAGGGAATACATTCTTGTATGCTGTTAGGTGACTCAAGTACTTCTTTCCAGGGAGACGTAATTACTATATTATGGGCTGTGCCTTTATGAGGCTATGTAAGGATTGCTCCCATGTGTTTTTGCATGACTGCACTCTAAGAAGGTTTCAGAATGGTTTTTATTTTCAAGTTAGGGATAGTTTATTTATATAAATTATTACTATCCATCAAGGCTTGTAAGTGAAACAATTATAGGTCTATTGCATTTTAACATCTTAATGAACATTACAAACAAACGCTAAGTGAGCTGGTCAGTTGTCTACTTGCTCTTGGATTTATTTCCTGATCTGGCCTCCACTCATTCTGACTTTGGAGTTCACTAGGGAATGGGTCTGGTTAGGCTTGGAGCAGATATTAAGGGGAGACGGAGGACAAAATCCTGGGTATAACCTTCTCCTTGGGCTTGGATTGGAGGGAGACCCCTGGCATTGGGCATTGCAGTTCTGCTTTATAAGGACTATCTCTCCCTTCCTTGTGCCAGCTTCCTTGGGTAGCTAAGGCATGCAACCACCTCTTGCTACTGCACCACTTGGCTCTTATGCTTGGCACGCCACCCTTCTGTTTCTATGGCTTTTCAGGAGCTGCAGCTTGCTGTTGCTGGGAATTTCTGCATTTGTCACACAGACTCAACTTGTTTGTTTGGTTATAAACTATCTGCCAAGTATGTGAGGCTTGCTGTTAGGTCATCTGCCATGGATACTGTTGTTCACATTAGGCTGTTTAGGCACTTAGGTAGGTAGGCAGAAACCTTTGCATTTTTATTTATTTGTGGCAGTAGGCAATGCAAAAACTTCTGGAGGCTTCTTTCTCTGGATGCATCAACTAATACTTTATTTCTTTGTCTTTAGGTGCTTTAGACAAAATTTGTGAGGCTGCATTTCTTCCCTTTTCAAAACTCTTATTCACTCTCTGTTATTGAAAATTTGCATAACTATACTCTTTTGTCGATGGATAAAAAAGACAGAGAAAAGATAATACAGAGACTCTGCAGTACCCTCTTAGTTCAGATACTGTATTGCAACTTTGGACACTCATGAGTTTTCCTGTCTAATGGAAGAAATGAGAGCTCTTACCAAAAAGAGATGGAGTTTTATTAATTTTATTAGCCATGGCTATGAGACATCCTTTCCTTCCTGATTCTCTCTTTTACAAAGAGACCTATTAAAAGTATTGATTTACGCTATTAGAATGTTATCAATTTAAGAATTGTTTAGGATATTCTCTCTCTCTCTCTCTCTCTCTCTCTCTCTCTCTCTCTCTCTCTCTCTCTCTGTGTGTGTATGTAAATCATCATCAAACAAAATTCCAGAAGCAATGGCCAAGAACACCAGGTTCCTGCTTGCTGTTCCTTCCTTTATGTAGTACCAGGGATTAGATTGCCTGCGTTTCTTGCTCCAGACAATGCTTTGATTGCTTCCAACTCCTTTAAGCTCCTTTGAGAGGCACAGTGGCATAACTTGGCAGTGATGATTCAGCCTGGGGAGGATTAATTAATTCTCTTCATTTAATACTGCTATTTTTGATAGAAGCGATGCTGCTGGGAGATAAAAACAAGTCAGAGGACCACATGTATTCTTACCATGTTCAAGGTCTATCTTTAGCCGAGGCACACACTTTCTCGTATTAAAGAGAAAGCCACAATTATAGCAGTGCTCTTCCAAGTCTCAGTGATGAATGTTTGCAGCCAGTATCTTCGTGACCTTCACATAAATTTGTGGTTTTGAGATGAACATTTTGAAAAGAAAACAAAGTTCTACTAACTCTGGCAGAGACTCCATGTTTCTTGGACATATTCTGTAAACATTTTTATGAAGATTATTTTTAAAACAATACATTTAAATTGTCATTTTCTTTACCAAATAAATAAGTCTAGTGTTAATATCTACCCCATAGTCTTGTGCATTGAATGATCGGTCCCTGGTTGGTGGTGCTGTTTGGGGAGGCTTAGGTGATGTGACCTTGTTGGAGAAAAGGTGGCACTGGAGGTGGACTGTGAGAGCTTATAGACTCACACCAATTTGAGTTTATGCTCAGCTTCCTGGTCGCAGTTTAATATGTGAGCTCTTAGCTTGCTGCTCCAGCCCAGGCCTGCCTGCTGTCACACTTCTCTACTGTGATGGTGACAGACTCTTACCACTCTGAAACTGTAGTCCCAAATAAGCCCTTCCTTCTGCAGGTTGCCTTGATCATGGTGTTTATCACAGCAATAGAAAAGGTACCAAGACAGGAACTTATCTGGGGAAGCCATCCAGAAGGCCAGTGGTGGTCTTATTGGATTCAAAGTTTAGAAGTTAATCTCACTTCAGGAAGTGTTTGCTGATTATTTACTTGGTTCTAGGCGTTTAAAATACAAGATGAACAAAACAACTTCCTAAGACAGTGGTTACTTTCATTTTAGCATTTATCATCTCAAGACTCTGATTCAGCAGGTCTGAGTGGCAGATCAAAAATATACTTATGTGAAGGCATCCTACGTAAGATTGAAGCAGCCAGGCTGGGGATTTTAAACATATATGATCAAACATCCTACTTAAATGTGACTTTTCTGATGAGTAGTTCACAAGGCTACACAGGTGTCGTGTTGGTGGGGGTTAATACATGTCCTGAAGTCCATGGACAAAGGTGGGAATGAGGAGATGCCT